TTTCGTCCTACGTCTGCAGCGTTTCTGGTCCGCATTCCCTACGAAGGCAATCCTCAGATTCAGGATATAAAGCACTTGTGTAGCATGCCAACTCAAGCAACAAATACAGCACATCGCTCCTGGTACCATTCGCCGAAAATGACCTTCGTTGGCAACTCGACGATCAACGATCGCTTTCCTGTTCGCCAATTTATCCGTCCTACAATCGCTCGTCAGCCGATCAGTCCCACGATTTAAACCGCTATTTATCGAAAGTGTAAACCCTTTCTAGCGGGGGGCCCCTGTAGTGACTCACTTTTATCACGAAAACACGATTGGTTTATTGAAAACAATTATTATTATAACCAATTGTACCAGTGACTGTTTTTAATGTGCTTTTGTTTAACTATGCTAAAAAGCATCCATTATTCTTACACTTTGTCTGTGACTTTGCGCGAATTCGGTTACGTTCTGTAACCAAGTTTGTATCCTGACACGATCTCGGTATCCTTTCGATACCACGAGATCGCCAGCAAATATATCTCGATTTGGTCCACTAACTGCCTTCTGATATTTGGCTTCTCGGGGATTTTATGGAGTCATTTGGCACGAGTTTCTTGGTAGCGGTGCTCCTGGGATTTTGCTCATTTCATTTATTTTACTCTCTCTTTTCCTTTTAAGTAATAATTATTCTTATGTATCCAAACTTTGTAATTAAACTAAAATCCAGATAAAGTGATTTCGTCTCATCATTATACAATGACGTAAGTATCCCATATTCCTTTTCTTTTATTAATTGCACGAATGTCTTTATCGGACAGTGCTCGATAATCTCGTAAATTCCCGGGTGTAATCTAAGTGTCTAGGTACTACTTTTCCATCAACTGAGAACGCTGAATGCACTGTATCGTTAAACAAATTCACAGAATCAATATATATGTAAGTCTTCAACATATGATTTCAACCTCATTAGTTTTAATGAACTCACATAGCTGAAGGCGCTTGGTCATGCTTCCGCACCAGATCACGAGTGAGTACGTGTATTAAGCCCATTCAACTATTGTATTTTTTCTGCTCACTCTAATTTAGACACTTAATCCACTATGTAAATTTCTGCGCGAGTCTGATTGAGCGTATGTCTGCACATCAATCTTTAATCTATTCTCCCATTGGTTGTAACACACAGACGATCAATAATTTATCCACGACTCATTCACACACATAAAAATATATGGATTTTTAGCACAAGCTCATACTAATGTGGTTTTCCTGTATGCTTGCTCCTTGTACGCTTGCAGATTTTACTAATTTTTAACTATAAACTATCTTTATATCTGGTGTTCAGGCTTTTGCATAATATCGAGTAAATCCATAATTCTGCTGGGAAATTTAGCCTGTGTTGAATACTCAGTTAACGAGTTACTATTTATTGGATTCAGATATAGAGAAAATTAGCCTTTACATACGCTGTGTTCTAATTCTCCTACAATCAACTTAGATCAATCACTTTTCGATATATCGATAGCCTATCAAGCGTGTCTTCAAACCTATTTACTTCTGACTTCTGATCGCACTGGGTTACCACGTTTCAATTATAAAAGCTGTTACTAGATAAGGTGTTGTCCAACTGGGAATAATTTCAGTGTCTTCAGTACAAATTCTTGTAAATTAGTGTTTTAGTGAGGCCCATTACTTTGTCGTCATTTAGATCAGACGATGTCTTTTGACGGGCTCTCCACTTTAGTGGACTGAGATCTGACTAAAATTAGATCGTATGAATGTTTGCTATCACCTATTCTCGTATATGATCATCGACTTAAATCGCGTTAGTCAATAACCGAATTAAATAAGTCGAATAACGAGAATGGACTTGCGAATACATATATTTTGCATATAAAGCAAATGGAATGGAACAAAGCAAAACAACACGCAGTGGAGATGACGGATAAACCAACTCCATTTTAAACAAGCGTTAATTAATATTCATAGTTATACAAAAATAAGTTACAGACATGTGATGAACGGGATAATAAATGTACGAACACCTACGTGTTCATATAAAAACAGTCAAGATTGATAAGCGAATAAATAACAAGGTCAGAATTTGACTCAAGTAGAATGAATATTATGGGCTGTCCGAAAGCTATATATGGGCTCAACAAAATAACCGACAATACACTATATGGTCACTTTTGCTCTGAGGTGGCACATAATCGATATTTACAACCCCATCCTCATAATAATGATTCGGAGTCCGCTTCGTAACTAGTTATCTTTTTTATGTGTTGCACTAGGGTGCATGTAATGACTACGTCAAACAGTTTTGTCCCGAACAATGTCCCGTCAACTCAGTCCTTGGACATTTCTAGTATATCGTAGGTGAATCCAAGTTTATATACCACCAAAATATTCTGCAAACATTAGGTCGTAGTGTGGTGTCGAGTCGCGGCTGACTATGATCACCACTATAGGAAGACTACGTGCCAGTTAACCCATAAGATTCTACGTAAGCCAAATATCAGAAGGCAGTTGATGGCTGTAATCGAGATGCATTTGTTGGCGATCTCGTGGTATCGAAAGAACACCGAGATCGTGCCAAAGGAGTGCAAGTGTGGTTACTGAGCCTAACCGAATCCGTGCAAGGTCACAATCAACGGAAGTATGTATGTGTTTTGGTACAGTTAAACAAACAGATACGGTAAAGCAATCCCTTGTACAAATGGTTATAATAGTAATTATTTTTGTTACACCAATCGCGTTCTCTTGATAAAAATAGATCAATACAAGATCTCACCACTTTTATCACCCCTAACGAATACTTTTATCTATAAGCTTTCGATCGTATATCTCTATAACCTACATGGACGCACATCTCTATATAAATAGTTTAGTAGTTTCCATATTCATTAAACCCTAATACAGAAATACCTTACTTCTTGTTTATTTTATGGGTGTAGTAACCGAAAGACACGAATAACAGAATTATGCAGTCTTAGTTATTCAACAAAATCTCGAAGTCCCATGTGAATTATCATTCTACGATTTCTCAAATAAGGTATTGTTTTTAAATCTTCAACTAGATTATAAAAAACAAACATTTTTGACAAGAGCTCATCGTCATAAAATTCTTTTGCTGCAATTTTGACAAGTGAATTCTGTAAAAAAGGTTCATTTTAACGCACCATTCGTTTGAATGGTGGGACTCGAATTCAAGCTTACCCCTCAGTTTGTAAGATAATTTTGACAAGATGCTCTGGGAAGAGTTAAAGAAGTAGCTCGAACTTTCGAAAATAGAAGCTTTGACGATCACATGGCTCATCCGGGGAAAGGGCTCTAAGCATCAAAATCACAGAAGACTACTTCGTGTACCACTCGCTAAAGCTACCGACGTTGAGGATATCCTACAGGCTAGTTACTTACTGAAAGCAGATGGGAATGTAAGACGACTGCCTGATGTACCGTGTTGTGAGCGCGATTTCATCCTTAACATTTTTATGGAGTCCTTAATATGCGATGGTATACAACATTATTTATTACTCTTAAACTTTTCAGCCCGACAGCATGATTTCAGGAGGGGTCATTCTCGTATAACCAACCTGTTGGTTGCGGTGGACAGATGGACAACTATCATTGATCTCAAGGGGAAGGTTGACGTCGTATACCTTGACCCCTCAAAGCTTTTTAATAGGGTCAAACATATGTGTCTTATCAATAAGCTCATACTATTAGGTATCAAATCACCTTTAATTGATTGACTCACTTCATATATAAAAAAGTCTAGATTTCGAGGTCCGAATGAACTTGCTCTCAGGCTATGGAAATCCCTAGTGGATTCTCGCATGGTTTATTAATAGGACCTCTTCTTTTCTTAATTTATATAAGCTATGTTCTATAACAAATATCGTTAGACTCATTTTTGCGGATAACGTGAAACTGTAGAGAGAGATAATCAACCAAGAGGATATAATGGCAATTCAAGAGGATCTGACTCGACTTCAAAGTTGGGCAGACGACACTGGACTGACCTTTAACACCTTAAAGTGCAAATTAGTTCATCTGAGATATGTTGAAGACTACATCTACAACTTAGGCAACTCCCCTCTAAAAATACCTTTAGTACTGGTACCCTATGATTTGAAGTCTTACGCTAACTGTGACAAAAATGCCTTTCGAGCAAACCTTGCACTGGTAACATTGAAGCGCATTTCGGTCCAGTTTGACAAAAAAACTTTCCACATAATCTTCAACAGTTTTATTCGTCCCCATTTAGAGTACAGAAACACAGTATTTCCTCTCTTACTCCAAAAGAATAAGGATACTCTAGAACGTATTCAACGGTTAGCCACTGAATCAGTTTGGAGATTCAAATTCAAGCCTTATGAAGAGCCCCTCGTATCACCAAATGTTTTCCCAATAAAGTACAGGTGTTTTAGAGGTGACCTGATGACTTACATTATCCAGAACTCTACTGGACATTCTCTTAAACATGTACTTTAGTTTATTTTAGACACAAACCTAATCAATAACACTATGGTGAAATGTATATTCAGTAATTTTTTGCTATGACAAAATGAAAACCATTTCAACACCCAGAACTTGAAGAAACAACTCAGCAGAATGGACTGTATGTACAGCATCTATTTCTTAAAGGTAGTCATACGCCGGAATTATCCAACGGTTGAGCTTTTCCAAGCGACTTCCCAGGAGTCCTTTAAGAGAAAATTTGACATTCCCCTAAGGATTAGGGATAGTATCTTATTATGATTTACCATGTTCCAGGTTCCTGCCTGGAGGTATAATTTATACACTGATACTGGACATGGAATGCGAAAGCTTCTATTCCGTCCATAACCTTTTGAACCATATGAATATATATATATATATATATATATATACTAAATGTTTGTTCAATTTTAAATACGTATACTCCCAACTGTTAGGATCTTAAACTTACTTTTACTGTTACAAAAGTTAAATTTGAGAAATTCTCGTATTTTGTACTTTGTCTCTTTATTCCACTTGTTTTACTGGACTCAGGGTTCGGTATCTGTTTCCATTTTACACCCGGTTGTGGAATGTCGTCGATCGTTTATTTCAAGTTCAAAGCAAATGTAAAGACAGACTCTGTTTCGTTTGACGGATCTTCTATTTCTGTGAAAGATCTTAAAAATGCCATTCGAACAAAGTGTTGTTTGTATTCGACTGATTTCGATCTGAAACTAGAAGATACTACTGGAAAAGGTAACTAGGTTTTATTATTCAACTTTGTTTAGTCTATTCCAAAGATGATGAATTGATTCCAAAGTACTCAAGTATTGTAGTGCGACGTGTCCCACGTTTAGTTGCAGAAATCCAAAAGAAGAAACAAATGTAAGTACTTTGGCTATGTTGCTTATCGTTAACCTATTACAGGGGTCCAGATGATGTAACGTGGAGAGAGTTGCAAAAGAATGTAAGTTGTTTTTTTAAGAACATTTTCTGTCGATATGGTCATAACAGTACGGGATTGAGCGCTGACTTACTGATTCCTAGGAAGTTTGTGTAGTTATAGAGATTTTCATACTAGTGTAGGTATCCTTGCGAGACTTATCACCGATAAATTATGTTTTACTTTGCTTGACTAAGGTTTTGATCATAAGGATTTTCAAGGTACTCTAAGATTTTCCAGTTTAAAAACTTGTCGATAGTCTGGAAGGTTAACTAACTTGTGTTAAATGTGTCAGTATAAATTGGGTTCCCTCTACCTTCTATTTTTTGGTTTGATATGAAGTCATTAGGTATTAGCCAACCTTATCCGATTGGAATACTGTCTATGCGGCACCAGTCTAATCTTCCAATCACAAAGTGTCCTCAGATCATAAATCATTGTAACTAACTGAAAAATCTATCTTAATTAGGTAGTGGGTTTCACACACCAGTCTGGGTGCCAGCTGTTAGGAGGTTGGAGTGTTGACTTTGGGTGGAGTCAATTTGTTCGATTTTGTTTCCGAAATTACGAACTATTAACACTGATTTATTTGTATGCAGCCCATGTAATGTTATTTTCAAATAAAATATTGCTATTATCAGTGTTATTGTTATATTGTAACGTTTTGCAGTTAGAAGTTAACGGATCTTCATGTAATATTTTCTGCGGTCAATCAAACTCGAATTTCCTATGGTTAATCAAAGTCTTGTAAAAATCTCATTCCTCGCTTTCATTAATTTCTGTTTTGGGTTTCGGCAAACCACAAAATTGTTACTAGATGTTCTGTTTTGTAATACGGCTATTTTGTCTCGCTTTACGGCAGCTTAGGTCAACGCACATATGTACCATGCTCTATGTTGGTACTGATGTGCATCCAAGATTATGTACTAATGTGAATTTAAAATGATTGTTGGGTATCATCATACTACTGTCGGACGATTACTTGTTCGTAGTGTATCAATTTTTAATCGTACAGAATTGTTCCTTATAACTGACGCATAGCTTTTGTCACACTCTGCATTACATTTTAACCTTTTAAATAGCCATTCCAGAGTTTCTTTGTCCTCAACTCTTGTATGTACTTGCTGTTCGTCATATCCCTAAAATTATTCTCTAAGTAACTTTTTCATTACATGGTTTGATATCTGCTGGATGATTCATTTTGACCTATATGATCCAAAATTTGGTATATTGCGTCACTTTCTAAATAAACAAACCCTTAATTGGTATAACTAAAATTAGTCAAGTCTATTACACGTTATCTCAGTATACACGTATGTATCTTATTCTATTGTTGATATATTACTCAGGTTTCACTACCGAATTAAAGAAATAAATCTGTTTAGTCGGTGAATGTAGTAAATTTTGTGGTTGTTTTTAGACCAGTGTATTAGATCATGCCCATAAAATAATTGTGGGATTTATGTTAATAAGCTTCACGGTCTCACCTACTCATACGATTAATCCATTTACTGTAATTGCTATGTCGATCAATTACATGGGATTCGGAATAAAGCTAGATTGATATTTAAAATCTTACTGACTCAATGGTATATCCGGTTAGTCTGAGCTATGCAATCGAACCGGTGAGGAAAAATCTAAGTAATAGGGTAAATGGCAGAATAGGATTAAAAATTTGAATGTGTTAGGGTTTAACTTTCCACCACAAACTGATCAACTATAATTTGGCAGTCCTAAAATCATATTCTTACTCTAATTGCTTGCATATTTAGTTCATTTATCTTTGACGTCTCCTTATTGACTGAAGCGATCGACATCTCAAGGTCTTATAGTTGTATTCAGGTTCGCCTCATAACCATAAGACCCAAAGGATGACTAGGAGCATTTCACTGACAATCTTTTTTAAAATTTTTATTTTTTAGTATCAGTTTGGAGCATAAAGGGACTTGCTGTTATCAAGGCTGATATTTTTCAGCTGTCGAGATTCCGCATTTCTTTAATAGGTTTTTATTATTATTTAAACAAACATTTGTACAAAAAGGCCCCATCTAGATAAATCATTCGATTTATGTGAGGACTGGGTTACTGCCCGAGTGCCCAGACCGAAGCAGGTCTTTATGTAGAACAAAATAGTTTTCGTTCTCCCGAGTTATTTATTACAACTGATGTATTATGCTACAACATTAGATTTAAAGTCACTGGTTTGGCATAGACGTTTTCCATTCCGAATAGCAGACGAGCGGGTAGATAACAAAGAATGGGCTGTACTGTACAATGAAACTTTATTTTTACTATGTATGGAAAGGAACAAAGTGCATCACAGATGCCTACTAACAAATTCTTGTGTGCGTTATAAACTTTGTGGAACATGTAACTGGTATGCAAGTGAAATTCGTAGCCTTTCATATCTACAGTCAGAAATCTAAGTTGTAAAGGATTAGGAAAAACCAATCCCAAGTGGAGGGTAAAGAAAGAAGATAATGGAACATCATTATTTACTATAGTGAAGTATGTTTGAAGTTAATTACGGACTTCCGGATATTTTATTAATTCGTAGTAATCCAGTGGAGTAATACTTTGTATACAAGATAACTAACAAGGACGGAAATCAGTATCCTGTGGTAGCTAACTACACTAAGAAGTTTGGTCTTACCACAGTTCCGACTCACGATGCTTATCTTCCGTAGTTGTAGTAGTAGTAGCAACCTTTGTATCTGATTAAAACATTGAGCAACTAATCTTTAGCTGCTTTCAGTTAATAAATTAGTATATCAGGCACGCAGTGGGACTAGGAAATGCGAGAAAGGTTGGCGTTCATGCAAAGCCTGTTTGGCTAGTGCTAACCTGGACCGCCTTTGTATTAATATGGCTTTAAAAATCTAAATATATAGCTCATCTTCGGAAGCAGTCCCGTCAATTCCCTTATAAAACCTGGCCCGTTTGAGTTTATAATTTTTGGAGACTGGTCGTAGTTATCCCCGAATGATTACTTTCACTCGAGGAAGTGTAAAAAATATAAGGGTCATCTATATGTGATTAGCCGTCGTGATGGTAGTTTAATTCATGTTACCATTGTGAAACACCAGATTCAGTGCCCTGAACCTGTTTTATAAATGTCGCAATGGCATCCATTTTGCCTGTGATTTACCTGTTCTGACACAAGAAGTTGTTTGCATGGCGTCCAAACATCAAGACCTGGCGTCTGATCACCTCTTCCCGGTACGAGATGTGTACGTCGTACGACTCAACAGTTTGAGGTACGCAGGCATGGTCCGTAGTGGAAATAAGCTGTCTACTGTAATTTCTCACTACATTGATAGAAATAAAATGAAGGCTAACCATAATGATCGTAATTCTGATTAGACTTTAATTAAATACTTTTTCGTGTATTTATTTTCATCGCAACCTCTCACTACATGTCACTTTGTGAGGCTCATTCTTTTTATGCTTTGTTGTACCATAATCCTTGTTATGAATGAATAAATAATCAGAATTCTTTTTATATTACTTGTCGAGGAGTAATGTCACTAGACATTGTAACTATCAGTCGCTACCACACTTAATAAAAACTCGCTTTGTCTAAATGGTTAAATGTAATTGTAGTTCCAAGATGACTTCAATTTTCACTGAGTAGTGGAATAACGGTATATGTCTAAGCAGTTACAAAGAAATTAATTAGCCTTACAGTAAAACCTGTAACTGCGTGGTATTAAATAATGCCCTTCAGCTCAGTTGACTTTACGCATGCCCTACTACATTTTACTGATGCCACTGGAGAATAACCGAGCTAGTATTTGTATTGTAATGTTACGAAAGAGTTACCTTTTTCACAAGTGCTACCAAAGTAGGCCTAGCAAGATTATCGATGGACATTTTATGGGATCATTTTGTTGGAAGTCAATAATATTTCCTCGGTTGAGCCGTAGATAATGGCTCTATTAGGACCTAGCTGCTGAGCACTTTGTTAATTATCCTGACCTATAGCGTCTAATATTTAACAAATTTTGAACCAGATTCTTTAAATTTGGTTAGTATCCATGAATACAAAGTCAGTAAACTTGGCAGTCAGTCAATCATAATCACCTTCAACCTGAGTCATAACAATCGTCTGGGATGGTATTAGCAGGACAAATATTAAGAGTAATGTATTAGTAACATTAATAATTGTTAGAAACGTATACAAAATACTGTTGAGAAAGAGTTGATTCGAGAAATAAAAATGCACAACGCAGTACATAAGGTGAATACTTGACAGAAATCAATACCTTGCACCTCTGATAGGTTCTTAGTTGTGTCGTGTAGCGTCTTCATCATGAACAAGGGTATTTTTATTGGTGTTAGAAATCTGAGGGCAGCTGTCATTTCTAGAGAAAACTAGATTATTTTTGGGCGTACCGACCTGAGGGTATGATTGAAGAGCCAGAGACAACTGCTTGAAGCAGGTCACATTTGGCCTTTGTGTGGGAACTTTGTAATATGTTGGCCTCGTATCTCAGAAGGGCTTACCGACGTAAACAGTCTGTGGGATGAGGTGAAGTGTTTACACCTCTAAATCCGACCTCTAATCCCTTAGTTTGTAGGCGGACTTCACTGCAGATACCAGTTGTTTGAGGGGAACGCCCTATTGCTGTTAAACCTCACTATAATAAACAGTACGAGTTCGCTGTCGGACCATGAATTTTCTGCTTTAAGTCTTATCGTCCTCCAAAAGACCTGCCTGGTATGGTAGGGTCTAAAGAAACAAGTATTTCAATCAGTATTGCTCGATTGGATCATCGCGAACGGTGAAGTCGATCACCATAGCAAAGTAGCAGCTATGGTCGGGAGGAGTCTATTAAACTACAGTTCACTCCGTTATACTGAGTAGTTGAAAACATGAACTTTAAAAATAGGGGATGTTAGTTTACTAGTATTCGATCGTTGGTATCTACGAAGCATCATTCGTGTATTTTGAAACCATCAGATTAGCAGTTCTGAGGTGAACCTTTATCGACTGCTATGGTTAGATGTATTTGTGTGCTCATCCACTGATTACATTGAGGCTGCTGCTAACTTGACGTTGTGGTCGGGCTTTTTTATCCTGATGAACCGATCGAGATATACTGATTGGAACAATTGTTCCTCAAGGTCATACCATTCTAGGCATGTCGGTTGAAGAGCGGTAAGACTAAAGGCAACAAACCCTAGGTCCGAAAGTGAAGTCGCACTGCTGACTGTACAGAAATGTAACTGCAGTTAGGAGTTTCCCTCCATCAACCAGCATGACAGCGATGCGCCTTCTTGCAAGAAAAGGGTGTGTTTGGAAAAGGTCGACTCTGAAATTGCACACTTCGCCTCATCCCACGGATGTCCGTCTCGGGCAATAATATATCAACAAATACAGTGCTAACACAAAAAGGTTATGTGTGATCGCCTTAAGAAGTTGCCCCTTGGGCACTCAGGTCACTAAGCTCAACTCTAGATTAGTTTCTTTTTCAGGTACTTTTAGAGGGACCTTTCTGCAATATGGGCAACCGGGGATTGACAACCGCCCTCATACCTCTAACAGCATTAATGATTGATGATGGCTGGTTTAGGAGTAGGCTGAAAATCTTGAAATGGTCAAACCACAACATGACATCAGTCCGTAAAGAAACTAACCTTTGGATTGAGACATATAAGACATAGACTACTTAGTTGCAATCCTCTTACCCAACGTAACTGGTGGTTAGAGATTGAGTAGTATGATTCAGAATCTTTCTCAATGAAGCAGATGGATTTACTCGTCATTCTTTAGAATCTGCGTCTCCAAATTACCTTGCAATTCTTTTCTGTTATTTCACTAATCCATATTTTCTGCTTGAATAGTATCTTTGACTCTATCTTTTCTATTACCGCTGATACTATGCTGTTACTAGTTCGGGATTTGTCGTAACAACTTTTTCTCTTTGTGCTGATGGGATGTGGCAATTTGAGTTGTTGTACAGATTAGGCCAGTTTATACATAGCGTAGGACTGACCAACATAACACCAATCATAGATAGCGGTGATTGTGTGGACCGCAACCATCTTGTCTGTATTTCCCGACACGGTTTAGTTCAAGTTTTCTCCAAGCTTCCTGCTCCTCACTCAACATAGCGTTTCAAGGTATGAGCTAGTTGCAGCACGTAATACACATTCCGGTCACATCAGTTTATTGAAGGTTCACTATTTTTCAATAGTTTTGGGACATTTGACTTGTACCACACACCTGATTTCGGTCAGTATCAAGCTTCTAACATAAGTTTTATGAGCAGAAGCTAAGTGGATGTAAGTATATGGATTAAAATTCTTAATAGTTCATTTTGTCGTTCTATTCCATTCTCATTACTCCATTTTCTCATGTTAAAGCAAGATGTATACTACAGTAATAGCATTCTTTGTTTGCATGTAGCGTATGTATATCAATTTCCCAATTCCTTGTGGTCTTGACAAGACGAGCAAAATAAATATTCCGAAATCCAGATGTACTAAAGTCTTAAATATTGTCAAGTAAATATATATTGTATATGATATGCCATCCAAAAAGTGCCTGAAGTAAATTCATCACAGTTCGTATTCGGCTCTTCGTTGTTTCCATTGCACAAACGAGGTTAATTTAGGTGTAATACGTGGAGTTTAGTGAGATTTATATTTTTGGCACATTCATACATTCTTTCAGATCGGAGTCAGATCAACGGGTGACAAAACTGGGAAGGAGGTCTCTGCAGAAGCCAAATACGGGTTGAATTGGATGTATTTGTTTCAAACATTCGTTTATTTAGACAAACATTATGAGTGAGAAGCGGGTAAGTGAAGCGGGGTTGTCAAGTGTGTCGATTCAATTTGGCAAAGCGTGACTCAGTATTTATGGCCAGACAAAAATAGTCTGAAGGCATGTGATGATTAGGACAAGTGATACACATACTCTCATAAAAACATTCGAGGTTAATACAGGAATAACTGACGAGATCAAAATGTGGCTCCACAAAGATAAATAAATTGGTCTGTCTGGAAGCTAGAATAACCCGTGTGTGCTTGGCATAGTATTAGACCTTATAATGTAAGTCGTTTGAACGGTGTGTGATCGTGGCCGGTGGGATCATAGATGAGCTTGTGTAAAATAATTTGTTCCTATCCCTAGCTTAACATTTTTTTCACATTTGTTGGGTTTAATATTTCTTTTTGTTTTACAGCATACTGCCGCATCTGAAACATCACATGGTTCTAAAGTATGTTTCCATAATCATGCTTATCTTTTTAGCTTATCAATTTAGCAGATTCTGACCTTTCTGAAGAAGAGAAAATCAAACTGATGATGGAGAGATCCTCAGAGACTTACTCAGAGACCAAGTAATCAATAGTAGTTTACTGAACTCTTTGCTTTAGTTTTGCTGTACGAGCCAAACCATATGGAGTCCCTCCGGCTGCTTATGTTTGTCACAAATGTAATCAGCCAGGACATTGGATTCACAATTGTCCTGGGGTGCGTGATAAAACCGGGAAAGTCATGGATGCCAAGTCAATCAAAAGGCCGACGGGTATTCCACAGGATTTCCTTCTGGAAGTTGCAGCTGGAACTCCAGGTGCATATTTAGGGAAATCCGGGAAGTACATGGTGCCTATCAAAGACGCGTAAATCAGTTGTATTTGTAATGAAAATCTATTTTAGAGAGGCATATGCCCAGGGCAAAAAGGATAAACGGCCGTTTTCTGTCGAAGAAAACCCTCCATACGTTCCTCAGGAAAGAAATCCTCCGAAGCAACTTGTGTGTCCGTTGTGTAATAAGCTTTTCAGCGATGCAGTTTTAGTATCCTGTTGTGGAACAACCTATTGTAACGAGTGCATCATGGGTCATGTTTTTGATTCTCAAGTTCTGGGTTCCCATAAGTGTCCTAACTGTGATGCGGTGCTGACAGACCATGAGTCAAGTGTCTTTGAAAATGCTCTTGTGCGAAGTTTAATTCGTGACTGGCTTGCCGATGAATCTAAAATAGTTGATCCAGAAGTAGTTATCCCTGGAAATATATCAAAATTCAATGAAAACGATACGGTAAGATATTTTATTTATAATCTTTCCCTACTTTTAGGCATTCGTTAACTGTCGCCGCGTTCTGAAACCAAAACAAGCAACGGTCAACATCCCTACAGTCAAACTTGGAAGTACAACTGCAGTGGAATCAAATCAAGTTCAGAATTCACTGAAGATGCAACCAATTGTTTCAGAATCTAATTCTATTGTTAAAAATGAACATACTGATTTACTTTTGAACTTACCCTCTGAAACACCTCAGAGCACAAACTCTGTGACATTTTCTACTCTTTCATCTTTTGATTATGTTCGTGTTTCTGAAATGACTACTTCTGTTGTAACGAACAATACAAATGCTACTGTGGTCACAAGTTCTCCTTGTACCACTATGGTGGGAAATAACAGACAGAATCTGTTACCCACCACTTGTCTTTCAAACACACAAATTCCTTGTTTGAGTTATACTAGTTCTACTGCTGTAATGCCTACTTTACTCCCAGGTGTTAATGGTGGTGGTAATCCCCTTCTTAATGCGCTTTATAGTATACGGTTAGATGACTTACAGGCTCCATTGGTTGCTCCCTCTACTATTTTACCAGCCACTTACGGATCGCTTGTTGGCGATCCTGAGTGGACAGCTGAGACAGCTTTGGCTGCGTCAGCAGCTCAGAGTGCAGGTCTAGTTGATCCAGTAATACAAGTCAATAATAATCAGGTCGCCTTCGGGCTAGTCCCTGGGCAGTCTATCCCTGGCACGATGCACACAGCTTTATCCGCACCTGTTGAAACACTAAATGGACACAAAATGCTTTCAAAAGAAGAGTTCTATCGGTTGAAAATGGAAGTTCTCCATTCAGCTCGTAGAAGGTAAACCAATTTAAATCTACTCAAATGCGATCGTTTATTTATTTAGGTTGTCATGCCGTCCTCTTTCTTTAACAGTTGAATCTCTTGACTTCAGGCATCGCCAGATCCGTTCATATCATGGGTTCTTGTAGCAAAGTATTCATTTTATGGGTAATCGAAGTACCGATCTTCTTCTGAAAGAATGTATAATTTAGTTCATTGTCTCAAATACCAAGTGTAGACTGAGTTTCTATCGTTTCTCGAACTTAAGTAATTAATCTGTTCGGAAGATTTATTTCTTGCGTTTCAGTATGGAGGTAGTTCGTAATCATTCACAATTTAGGATAGTGAATATTCTGGGTAGAAATACTGCCCCATGAAAAGACAACTAGGTGGTTCAGCTGTCTTTTGTTTGTTTGACCTCGATTTGCCTCCAAGTCTGCGGTAGGCTCAAAATAAGGTCTTTCACATCCGAAGTAAATGCATGTATTAGCAGTTATATAAAAATGTAAAGGTCTATTTTTCAAATTGAAGTTTACTTTTTAGGGCTTAATTAAGACTCTACCTTTACGTTCAGCGTAGATAGTGTTCAAACTAAGTATTTTGACTTTTTGAAGCTTCTGTTGGTGTTTAATATACACTTTCATATTTAATTTGAATGTTGCTCAGTGTATGTCTGTACGACCGTATGTATTGGCTGTTGTTCATTTGTTTGCCTTTGTTTCCATTTCTCCAGTAATATGTATATATGTAAATGCTGTTATCTTGTTTTATTATGGTGTGCATTCCACTACATTCAACGGGTCCACCTAACAGTATGGTTGCCTTTTCTCTGCGTTATTCAGTATTTTATTAAAAAATTTGATTTATAGGCATCGCCACCGCACCCATTCACGTAGTCCTGGTCATGTACATCGAGCCGAACGACTTTATGGAGATTCTTCGCACCATCGACGTGGTTATGATAGAGAAGAGCGAGAGAGACAATCTCGATACTATTCACCTGTTAATTACGAGAGTGAACGTAGTCGTTGCCGACACCGTTACGCCGATGAATATGAATCTCATCGTGACAGAAGTGGGACTCACCGTCATCACTATCGCCCTACTTTCTTTCAAGATCTTGACGACCGGAGACGTCATTATTCACGAGGCCATCCGCACAGTCCCGAACACCGGTCCAGGCGGTCACCAAGACAGTCACCATCAAGTAAAGATGATTGGTATGGGTACAAAGGTCGGGGATGTAGCCTTTCTCCCATCACACATGAACCCTCAGACCTGCGCAGATGTCGGGAACCACATGTTGGTAGTGGACATTATGATGAATTTCTCGTTAGACGTAAAAGAAGGTAAGTCACGTTTTACGTTTTCCTAGATTAGTTATTCAGGGTCTCTGACCATCGGTTGCTATCATCTCGCGGTCCCCAACCAGGTAGTCTACACCTACCAACATGACTCAGTCTACTTGTCAGTGACTTCATGGACTTGTGCCGTGTTTTGATCTGGCCGTCCCTAGCTTTCTTCCAACCTACTCCTATACCACTGAACACCGCACGTCGAGGCAGTCGGAGAAATGTAAACCAAAACGTAACATCAGTTCATGGGACCATTGACGGCTGGACTGATTTATTCAGGTTGATGTACGTTACTTGTTTGGGGTCCGCATGTTGTTAGGACCTTTTAGTGAAATGGCTCGAAATCGTTCACAATGATGCAGGTGCATCCACCCTTAATCTTCCTTTAGTCTCTGAGTCTCAAAATCTCGTCTTTCTCGTTTCTTTAATTTTATACCTAATCTTTTCTACTACTACCGATACTGTTCCTGCATCTACTACTATGGAGATTTGTCTTAATAGTTTTTTCTCTGTAATAATTTGATATCGCAGCTTAAGCCAATTCTCATTTGTGAGTTTCTACGCCACTGATGATCACTGCCGGGAAGTAAAAACTACGTTTGTACCTTTAACACCACCCGAGATCACCTTTTCCACTACCCGTAATTAACCCACAAGTATTTGCAGAGTAATGGTATAGCGTTTAAAGCGTTCGACTCTCCGCCATCAAGTCTAAGATTCAATCCGGGCTCCAACTATTTCTTTTTGAACGACAGGATTATATCATTAGCACTTACAATTTAAGCAAGGCTCATACCTAAGAATCTAGTGAGCAAGCTAACTTTTCTTTTTACTTTATCGTCGGTCATAACCCTTGCTAATGATTCAAGTTCACGAAAAGTCATTCCTGGTTTCCTAAAACTGATCTCTAAGCTAAATGTCAAAACTCTCAATGTTCGAACTTCGTGTCAAATCGAAAAAGTTTTCTTTAGCTAGTACTAGGATTTCGTGCTTGTAATATATGCTCTGTCTCCCTTACCGATCAGAATTCTAGTTCTAATTCCGTTTACTTTGTCTACTATTTATTGTATAGCATTATGTCCCAGGACTGAGCATTGTACGCCTGACCAGTATAGTTGACCCTAAGTCGACACAGCCAAGCTCCTATTAGTCTGCTGTTTGCAAGCTTTTCTCTGAGTCCAAAGAGTCAACAGCCAACTTCTATTATTGTATTTTAGAGATACGTAGGTTTATATACAATTTTGCATAAACAAACTGAAGGCTTCTGTGAACAGAGTAACCTGGGAAATATAGATTGACATTAAAATAGGATTAATAAGTAGCATACTGATAGTTAGTTAAACGGAAGCTTACATAGTAATCCAGTTACTTATTGATTCTATAACAATAAATTAAATATTAAAAACTCGAAAACCAATTCAAGCTTTTTCGATACTCATTCTGTTATGACATAAAGGAAGACATGATCGACCTAACGACAAACCACCGATCATCGTAAAAGAGACTCAATGAAGGATTCACTCATTTTGAAGCAGATATTTAGTTCCTGATTATTCTCTAGTTACTCACTACCTGTAAACAACCTGGACGGGAGATTAACACAAGTCCTCCACAGTTTTTGAGGTTGACTAGACCAAAGCGAGGGAATGCAGCTGTTCCTGATGGATAACCCGTCTGATCGTTAAAAGCAATTACCTTGTATTAGTAGTTAAATTGGGTAAGATACTAACTAGTGTTTGGGAACTTCACATCTGACTGATCTCGGAGGCTGATCATTCCAATTTTTAAAGCAACACTTGATTCTTTTGGTCAAGAGATTCTATGGCAATGTCTGTCATCGAAAGGTATACCACAGAAGTGCATCTACCTTGAACAGGATCTCTATTCGTTGCCGGCTTCATTTGTCTTGGTATTCTCATCATTCCTGATAGATCTCGTCACCAGTTAGGAGAGCTCGATTGGTGTTTGCCAATTCGTATCACTTGTGACGTATATGAGATGTCCATCTACCAAGTAAAGGGTTTGGATACTGTTCAACATTCCACTCTGTCCTACTTTGTAGGTGTGAAACACGGCCATTATAATAGAGAATATTCGTTGGTTACTAGTATTCGACCATAAATATTTTTTGAGGAGTTTCGTTGTGTGAGCTGAACGATTTTGTGGAGCTTTGACTGTTCTTCTGAATAACGTCACCATCTCCACGACCAAACCATCTAGCTTAGAGGACGAAACAACCAAAATTATCCACCGGAGCAACAAACCTTCATCGTCTCAAAGATTATTGGTGTCTTTGATGCATTGCTCGTGTATTTTGGGACCAACGATCAGGAAGTGTTTCGGTTCGAAAATGGAGACTGAGTAAAGAAGGAAAATCGATCGATGACGTAGCCAATCTGGATTGACTGAAATTGTCGTGACGTTCATTACGTATGCCTGATTACTGTTTACTCCCTCATTTGTTCTATTTCTTCTGGCGGTGGGCTGGGTTATGTAAAACTTCACATCTTAGCAGAAGTACAGAATAAAATGGACAGGTTTGGACTTCGCTGATGACCTAATACTAGCTGAAACTTGGAGGACCACTACAACCATCATCGCGAACGTACAAGTATTTACAGACAAATATCTACATGAGATACTCCACATCCGTTGGCCGGATACCATCAGCAACCATTTACTGTGAGAGAGAACAAACCAGCTTCCAACTGAAGAGTGAATTAGAAAATGACGTTGTAAGTGGATAGGACATACATTGAGGAGATCATCAAAGTGAGTCACGACGCAAGCCCAATCTTGGAATGTTGAAGGGAAAATGAGAAGTGAATGACTACTTAACACATTCGTCGGTAATTGGAGGTAGACATGTATAGGCTGAACAGCAGCGAGTTTGATGGAGAATGCTGGTGGGTGGTCTATGGTCTTGGACGAGTGGTAAGAGGTGTAAGTAGGTATAAGACAGAAGAGTTTGGTCATATGCGAACTCCAAATCACCTAGTCGCATTCAAACTGTTCGTTTGTATTTCATACTTTCCCACTCCACTTTTCCGAACCCTAACCTCAATGTTTAGTTTCATATATCGTTCCGGTCTCTTATTATACGTCTTGTTTATTTCACATTGTCGTGTTAGTTCTGTATAGCAAAGTTGTGCGAGCTCATTCGGGTTCTACCTTGGAGATGACGCACTAACAGTAATCTAGAATTTGCTTTGTTTTACAGTATTTTCCAATCTCCACCATCAATCCCTTAAGATAATAAATTACTCTGAAAATTTAGCTTCCCCTAAGCAATGAAAACCATCACAGTATATCAGTCTTGTGTCTTAATTCAACCCCTCTTGTAGAGAATCTATCTGTGACAGCGCTATCTAGTGGTATATCTGTGTTAATATGTACTAACAATTTCTTAATACTGCGAAAACTTCATCTGAGTTGTCCACTCTCCCTCATTATGATGGGTCAGATATAGACTGTATTTGATTTCTTTTTTCTGTTCACGTTGAACTGGGTAAAGTCTTATGTTACAGAAGTTTTAACAAAGCTTTGGGATCATAAAGTTTCACTCATAACTTTCCTCTGCATGATATACCGATGATGTGTAACCAGTTATTTATCTTATGGATTAAAATACCGTTTCTTATCAGACTGATTGCTTTATGTTTAGAACATTCGACGTTCAACTAACTGCTTGGGCGTTCAGACTTCAATCTACATACTTTGTTTTAAGTATCTCATTTACAATATTATAGTCATCTGAACGAATCCATATTCGTTGGATAAGATTAAATAGATTTCGTATAGGGTTTTTCACATGATTTCGATATTGCTTGTGTACCATACTGTCCATTTCCTGTACTTACCATGTTTTTGGTGTATAATAATCCTCACTTACTTTGTAATCCTTCATGTGGCTCAGTTGTATGAATATTTTACTCTTGTTAATATTTTCGAAATATAGTGTTAAATTTTCGATTATGTTCTTATCACTTAAAGTTTTCAAATCAGTTGTATGAACAAAATACAGAAGTTCAGTTCTCCAACCGACTTAGTGTTATGTAAGACATCTGGTAACTAACTCGGATGTTCCTCGCTTCATCATCTCAACGTTCTTTACTCCTGTCACTTCTAACTCATTACTCGTTTGTCTATTGTCACCAGGAATGTATTTGGAGTAAAACGAAGCATAATAATCCAAATACTTACGCCTATTTACTGGTTTTTGTTCACGAAACATGTCTTAGAAGTTTGATATTAAACGAGATTAGGCATGCGATACTAGTCAATTATCCCAAATCGATTGAAAAGTCGTGAATCTTCAACTGTGGTGGTCGGGACGTTTATTAAGTGCCTCATCCACTTACCTTTGTTAAGTCTTGAGTTTAATTTTTGTTTCGTACCTTATGATTTATCGAATTCATCCTCTCGTTTCACACAGCTGCTTAACGTTTCTAATGGTTATCGATAACTACCATTACTTCAACTCGTGCTATTGATCCTAATTTTATCATATAGGCCTAATGTGTTATTGCATCTTAAGCTAATAATCAGATACTGGGTAACATGTCTCAGAATCGTTTGAAATGTCTCAGGTGCATCCACTCTTTGTGTTCCCTTACATCTCGTGTTTTAAAAATATTTTATACTTTTCTGTAAATTCATCCTTTACATATTTTATCTTCTGTCCCTAATTTTTTTTACTATTTATCCTGTTGCCGTTTTACTGTGTCATCTATTTCATGTCTGTGCTGATGTAGTGTGTTGACTTGGACTAATGTAAATTTGTGTCAGTCGCTACTTTGTTTATAATTAACTACATCGGTTACAATTTGTGGTATGCATAATTTGCATTCGGAATTTTTCGTTTAAGATCTTATCGTTTACTCAGTTATATGAGATTTTACTTTTAAATTGTCTCAAGTAGTTGAATATTGTTCAGATTCACCGAAATTCGTTTAAACAGCAAGAACTTTTTGCGTTTTTCCTGTTAATTTTATATACTGTGTATGCATAACATTTTGTGTTTTCATACACGTTTTCCTTTGTTTACTTGAAGCAAGCAGTAACAGAGAACTAAACAGTAATATATATTCATTTGTCGCATCACATTCCTATTAGCTACAGAAGCACAATTACAAATTAGGTTGAAAGTTTTGATATATGATCAGTGAAAATATGTGATTGGGCTTCGATCAAAGATAAACAAATACTGAGCCTACTGATATATAAATTCCTTTTTATTAATGATTTCTACTCTAGACGTGATATGTAATGGGGAATAGTGGTTGTATCGGATAAGTCTGTTGTCTAAGTTGTACTGTGGTTCTCTATTCTTAGTCGAGAATCGTTTACATAATATAATGTGGTCCGCAGTCTTTGCATAGCGCATCGATCGAGTATCCAGTTTACTCGTAATTTGTACATAGATCGTATTATATTATTTGTGGCATACAGAAAATATAATATCAAAGTTAATACAAACACATCTATGCAGCATAGCAAACATGCAAATAAAAATAAGTGTCTAAGTAATATATTGCAAATATATATCATGTTCAGAGATATTAATTTAGTAACAAAGGACAAAAAAGCTAGGTATAAGTGGTTGTGCAATGAAAAAGCACTAGTGACAATTAACAATAACTTTTTGTTCTGCGGTTTCATTTGTGTGATCATGTAAACAAATACGATGGCAGTCCCAGCGCTGTACACTATACACTACGAGATGGGTGTAATTTTGTAGTTCTTTTGCATATTCAGTATACAAATAATATAATTTACTAACTGACTACAGGTCGATTTAATGGATAATTCTCTCGTCCTCAACTTTGTTTTATATAACATCATATGGTTATATACGTTCATCCACTCGGCTAATTTAATTTCGATTACACTTGTGGGTTTGCTTTGTTTCAAGTTTCCTCATATTTACCCATTCTATCATAATACAGAGTTTCTTTTTTAATTGCAGTCGAACACCCATGTCTGTTGTCCCTCAGTATGATGTCTCTGATCCGGAATCTATTGGTAAGTAATTTTGGCTTTTAACACTATTATTTTTAGGACCTAGAAATCCTTCTCTGCCAAGAGATACATCTCAGAGGCAGTTTGATATGCCTGGACCGAATCAAATATTAGATAATTTCAATCGTGTTTCACATAATTTATCATGCGAAACGTTTTCGGGTGACTCAACAAAACAATCCCCCATTTCTCTGGATCCTAATAATGATCTCATCTGTAAAGATGAATGCTTAATAGGACACTCTGTTGTCAGTAGAATTATTAGTAATGATGAGTCATTTGTACCTCACATAAAGAAGGTTAAAGTTAAGAAAGAGAAAAAGCATAAGAAGCATAAACACAAACATTCTGACAAAAGGTAACTATTATTATTTACTTTGTTATATAATAATATATTAGGGCTTGTATTCAGCTCGACGATTCAACTAATCAACTATTTATGAATCCAGGAGACACTGTATCTTGTTCTAATATTGAGGTATCTGATAAGAAGCATGCAAAGAAGCACAAGAAACATAAGAAACATAAACATGGAAATAAAGAAGACAAGAAACAAGTTAACTCAGATGTAAATTCATCAGTACAATGTATAAGTCTAGATAAAATCAATGTAAATGAGCTTAGCTAATAAACTCTTCTAGTTCTTTCCATGTACATAGGTTTTGAAGAACATGTATATAATGTCTAGATTATAATGATCAAGTTTACAAATTTACTGGACTGCATAATTTTAAATAAATTATTTTTTATCATGAATAAAGTGTTATTCTTTCATAATGTCGTTTTGTGTACCATAGCCTTAAAAGTAAAGAAGGATGAATAACTTTTATTGGCAATTTTAGTTGTGATTGTTTTGAAGTTCACTACAATAAACTTCGGATTTTAAAATATTTTTCATATGGGAAGCAATAATTTAACTCATTCACCAGGTAGTTGTGAATGAGCCACACTCCAAGTGTGAGGGTTATTGACACTAGCTGGTTGCCTAAACTGAAGTAGGTTGAGATATTAAAGAGGAAGAATCTATTTGTAAAATCTCAGCGAATAACTTTGAAGTAGGTTGAGCCTAGTTGGAACTTGAGACTTGACGTCCGGAAGTCGACTGCCTTAACTACCAAGTTGCTGCTCGTGGATTGTCATATGAAGAATAGTCTATTTACCATAATCTTGAATGTTCTTGTTTCGTAATCTCTCCGTATAGTAATATGTGATATCTGATTTATGTGCATCCCGGTTAGTTTTGTGATGAGAATTAGTAATGTTAACGTTTTTCGTCTGTTTCACTTTTGTTTCTGAAAACTTCATCGGAGCGAAATGCCTTATTGTGAAAAAGCGTAGATACTTCAAACGACTAGTTTGTATTTTGTTTACTGAATCAATATTAACATACATCTATTAACCGATCCGCTCTCGTGGTTGTTGCAACTAAAAAAAACCATTCAATGTTTAGAAATCCACTATTTTACGGAAATTCGAGCAGAATAAGTAAAAAAAATCCTAATCACTACACCGTTGAAACCAGCTCTATAAAACGCACACCCTGAATAGTCAATTCCCAAGAGAAAACACTAAAGACCACATAAGGTGTGGCTCACTGTTATGTATGGCGACGTTCTACATGGTAAATGGGTTACTTCAATGATATTTTTAATTATGTAAATGTCTATATTTCCCGGTGTTTCATCTTCTATTAGAATAAACCTTTGAAATTCTTTTGTTTTCCTAATAGTTAAGGGATGTATTGATAGTCATTAGACACAAAGTAGAAAGACATTCTAATGTACTTTCCGTATAACGCTGATGCTTAAATTTGCATCATTTTTTATATAATTGAACTTTCATATATTAGAGGGTCTATCATGTTCTGTTCATTCTGGATAGGTACATACCAAGTAGTACTCAGTGTTTTAGTCGTGGAGACGAAGTTTCACAATTGAATTTGCTCCATAGAAGAACCATGTCCTGTTTTTCGTCAATGTTAACGCAAAATAGTATAGTTTTTATTAAGGCTTACTAGCTTTACATCTTTCGGGAAACTCAATGATTGTTATTCGTTCTTTGTAGACTAGAAAAGCCCATCTAACAGATTTAGCTTCTGTCACTTGATGCATTCTTTTAGTAAAAGATAGGCCTATTAATAATAGTGTAAATCTAACGTTTTTTTACCACTCGACAAAATCTTATGTGTTTAAAACTTAATTTAGTCTTCTTTCATCTACGTGAAATAGGCTTCATGGAATGAACTACTTGAAAATGTAATTTTATGGAATGTTCACGGTGCCACTTACGTCATTGCGATTGATTTTTTGGGGAAAAATATTAAAGTGTGTCTTAAGAAAACCTATGCCAAAACTAACAACACAACTAGTCAGATATATATTCAGGTTTTAGTAGTCTATTCAAAACACTTAGAGATTAGGCTCGTTTCGATAGCAAAGTTATTTTAGTTAGCGTTAATCTTTATTTTGATATTACTTAGTTTTAATTAATGTTTGTTGTACTGCTCTTACATTTATTCTGTGGCGTTTTGTATTGTAATACGGGTGCTCTTGTGTATTTCAAAACTTTGATTTTACAAGCTCTGTTTCTGTGCAGCCTAATTTACTCGTTATTCAAGTTTTTGATTAAAAACAATTGTAAACTGTACTACTACTACCGATCCTGTCTTTTAATGCTATGAAGCATTTCTAAGTACTCTTAGTGATTAAAGATTTCCTGCAAAAGATGAAATGAAAAGTTAAATATCATATATATATTTTATTAGTCATTGTACTTTTTATCAGGTTACTTATGGGGTTAGGTGTGTGTTCACGTTTAAACATTAGTAGCAACATGTTCAAAAGACAGGCATGTCACAATATTCTCTTTAAATCATTTTCTAATGAGAGCTTTCTTACAATTAAGACTAAATACTTCCAGTATTTCTGTTTATGATTTCAGAGAATTCGATTACAATTTATTATAGCGTTCAAGTAGGACTTCATTGTTACCCAGACTTTGATCTAATAGAAATATCAGTAGTTTTGAGTAACTATTGATTCTTTTTATAAGTTTATTGTCTTTCTCTGGGAAATCCTTTCTGAGTGAGAATTGTTTCATAGCTTAGTATAAGTATTGCTCTCGCGTTTATCAGTAGGATTTTTCGTTTCAACTAATAATAAATGATAGGTCGGAGCCACTATTAATTATAAGGTCATTCTGTCATTTGTCTGCTTTGATGCAATTATATGTAGAGAGGGACATAATAGTATATATGCGCCACACAATAAAATAGGATTGTTTACTGATAAAGGAAAATATCAGAAGACAAAAAAGGAACAATGGATTGAAAAGCGTATGAAAAATACAATAATAATGGCAAAATCAGTTCACCTCAGAAAATATTCTTTTAACCTTATAGTCTTAACCATCTCTGGGCTCCAACCAGGGAGTTGTGTATGACCGACAGATACTAGTTATATGCAGCTTTTCTTCGTACCTGACAATATGTCTTACACTGACCGCCCTCGCTTTACACTACAAGTCCCAATGTCGGCCTACGATGTGTTCTCTAGGACGGTATTTTACAGTACATTCTCAAGCCACCGGAGACGATGTTTTGATATGGTAACACGAATTGAATTATCGTCTCTGCATCCGAAGACAATTTGCCAAACCTTCACATTTCTAACATTGTGTTGCCGCTGAATAGAAACAATCTTTCATGACAACGGAGATCAGAAGCAGCGAGTCATTATCATTCTTAACTCGGAGCAAAACTGACTTTTACAACCCGACTAATATTCCGAAGATAGCTCAGATTGGCATAAGCTGTTCTGGCTTTCACTACGTGAGTTTCCGGCAGTTAGCAGGGACAGTTGCCGTTTCCAACTCATCATGCTCCAATCACCAGGCTTCTCAGTCCTTACGCAAGCTGTGCATAATTCGATTATGTAGTAATCTATGTTCGTCGTCAAACTCTGCAATGACCGGCGTAATCTGACGTGCCTCGACCAGCTGTAGGGAGCATTTGGAAATCTAGTGTTTACTACCTGGACGTTCCACTAAGCCACAAGCGGCTATACTTGCCATGGTGTCATATAGGTGTACCCGATTCTCATACAAACTTTTTGATGCATCGATAGCTAGCCTTGAACACAGCTCGGTTGAAATCATTTTACTCGACGATCCGTGTCAGAAGAATTTGTGTTCAGTGGTTTTGCTCAACGTTCGGCCAGTTGGTGACCTTAAATCGTTTAGATAGGTTAGGATTTTGATCATAAGTGAGCTCCTGTATGAGTTGGGAAAGGAATAGACAAGCAATATAATCTAAAATAAAAACAAGTCCACACAATTGTCGTGAATACAATTTGAGCCAGAATACTTTCTCTATAGTTGTAATGATTTAATTTTTGTTTGGGCCAGCATGCTGCCCAGGTTTCCAGACCGAAACAGGTGGTTCCCTAGGGGGTAACCATGTGAGCATTTGTCGCACAGGTTGAATCCATGGGGCAATGTCAAGTGATACGGTCCGATGGTAGTCAATAACCATTGATAGGTTCATATGTCATTTGTTCCGTAAGGATCCTGGGAACTATGTTCACCATAAGTTTGTAATACATGTTCACCAACTACCATAGGTGGATTATTTATTTGAACACATGAATATTGGTACAAGAGAGCGCCAATATATATGCGCCACACAAAACAATGAGAATTCGAAGAGAGAAAAAAAACTAAGGAGCACAAAAGAAAAAGAGAACAATAACGAAGAGATTGGTGTGTGGTAGTAACGAGGGAACGGAAAGGTACAATCGGAAGAAATCTTTCAGGTAAGGGAGACACAACCACTTTTTATGAAGGAAGTAAAAGAAGCTTACAGCAGGATCGCCACTGCCTGTTCTGAGCCATATTTGATAACGTCTCTATCCACTGTGATGCACCATCTCTAGGACCCCAACCAGGAAGTCGTGAAGGACCAACAGAAGCCAGTCCTTTGCAGCTTTCTTTCATACCACGACACCATGTCATGCACTGACCACCTCTCCGGTTTTTGCAACCAGTCCCGGCGTCGGCGAATAATGCACTACGTGGAATTCTCTGGAACGACATTCGTAGAACATGTCCAAGACACCGAAGTCGGTGTTTCAAGATGGTGACACCAATTGAATTGTCATCTCTGTGCCCGAACATGCGATGCCGAACCTTTGCAATACTGACATGGTGTTGTCACTAGACGTCAGCAATCCTTCGGAGACAGCGATGACCGAACACGGAGAGTCGTCTAACGTCCTCAACTCGGAGAGACCAGGTTTCACAAGCATAGAGCAAAACTGCTCTCACCGACGCGTTGTAGATCCGAACTTTTACAACCAGACTAACATCACGAAGGCGCCAAAGATGGCCCAGATTGGCATAAGCCGCTCTGGCTTTCACTATACGTGCACTGATCTCATCACTCACGCCACCACCATTACTTATGCAGCTACCTAGATACCCGAAGTTCTCGACTACTTCTATCTACTCACCATCCAGGGTGAGTACAGGTTTAGAATCCTACCAGTCTTGTAGAAGTACTTTGCACTTCGAGGGTGCAAAGCACATACCATACCTACGGACACTGATTGACAACTGATTAAGTGCGAATTGTATGGCTTGAGTATTATCGCACAGTAAGACAATATCGTCCGCATACTCAAGATGGAGAAGTCTTTCTCCAGGCAACAGATCCACACCGCCACTACTTACAACCATCAGAGTTGTTTCCTGAATGTCAT